TCCTTCAGGTCTGAGTATAACTGTCATTTTCTCAAAGAAGTCTGCCCTGACCTTTCAACTGAAATTAGATTCCTCTGCTATAGTCTCTCATCTCATCCAATTATTTTCCTTCCTTGTACTTATCACAGATTGTAATGGTATATTTATGTCTGTGACCATTTGTTTGACATCCACCTCTCCCATCAGCTGGCATAAGCTCCATGAGGTCAGGGACTTTATCCATCTTGTCCTTTAGTGTATCCCCAGTGAATGACAGGCAAAAAGGTCTCGATAAGTGTTGGCTAAATGATAAGCAAATGAATGAGGGACAGCAAAGAGAAAAAGCAATATATATGGAAATCCCCTTACACCCACAGAGAGACATGTGAAATAGAAACATCATTAATAAGTGAAAGATTGTGGTCTGGTGCAAGATACACCGGCGAGGAGTCAGAGTTGGGGGCCCAGTGTTTATACTCATTTTTGTCGCTACCTAATTGTGAGACCACGTCCAAAATCCAATTTGTTAGAGTAGCTGTTTTTCCTTCTCTGCTGTTCAGCCTTGATCTCAAACTCCTCGTTTATAAAACTGAGATAATACAACCTGCCCTATTTATCTTCAGTATTGAGGAAAATAACTGTAACAATATACAATCATGTAGGTAAAGTACTACACAAATATAAAAATATTAGTCCAAAACATCAGTGTGGAGATATTTGTGTCTAAATCTCATATTTAATGTTTATTGGCAGTTGGCAGATAAGTAACTTTGGCTTTTCATTAGTGTTCACTGCAAAATAATATTTATACCACCATTTACTTAAAAGCAAAAAAGAGAAAAAAAAAATAAATAAAAGCAAAAAAGAAAAATTAACACCAGTGTTAAATCTATATTCTTTCATTATCAGAGTGAATATAAGATGTTACATTGAGTCTGTGTTGAACATACTAGTGAAAACACACGCCCTTTTCATTTATCCAAAGGCACAAATGGCTTTCATAAAAGCAGAACATATCATTTAAGGAGAAAAAAATAATTAGCCTTAACAAGAAGTAAGCTCAGAATTCTCATGAATGGATTTGGTGATTCCCACTATGGACACTGAGTATTTGGTTTTCAATTTGTCATCCTAGTGAAAATTCAGGACCAGCTGGAGACACTGGAGTGAGTGAGACACAGGGTTATCTGAGAAGGGCTTAGCTCAGGATAAAGTTGTTATATCAATAACAATCTTAAACAAGGCACAGTGGTGCCAAGCAAAAAATGTGGATTAGAAAGAAAAGCTACATTCATTTTTTTTGTGCTTTAGGCTTAGTACTTTATGGCTTGTTATGGAATGTTAAACCAGATGGAAGGTAACCCATAAGGCTAGCAGGCTGGGATATTTGGGGTCTATAATCATATCAAGCACTTTTTAAATGCAAAAATAGTTATTGAGCACTTATTGTGTGTTTTAGTGTTTATGTGGAAGAATTTTGTTGGGAGATGGTAACTTGGTATGAACAATGACCTAGAAGTTGGAATGAGCATATTGGGCTCCCATAGTGAGTAAGCAAGTTAGCCAGAGCAGAAGGGACCATCAGAGAAAGGGACGAAAGAAAAGCAAGAAAATATGACTTCCTTGTTTGCAAAGAACTTCTTAGTATAAAATAAACAGACAAAACCCCAAACTAAACCAAAACGCATGCACAGCTCTCATCACATGTGATCCATAAAACAAAACCAAACCCAGAAACCTCAGTGAGGTTGGCAGTGTGGGTGTTTTCCCAGAGACTAAATGAGCTTGCCAGAGACCACACAGCTGGACAGTGGGGGCCTCATATAACTGAACCAGCACCCTTTCCCTCTGTAAATCCCAAAAGGTAGGATGAGATGTCATGGTGAGGTCCTTCCATGCCAGACTAAGGAATCTGCTCTTTCTTCCGGGAGGAAAGGAAATAAGACAGCAGACCTAATTTAGCACGAGGGGAAGAAAGCAGAGTCCACCACAAGCTGCAAACAGATCATCCTGACACTGACCTTGGACAAGGCTCTGCAGAGAGCTTGCTAAAGGATGGCTTTGGAGGACTTGGAAGAGCCCTTGCCAGCACCTGTTCACCAAAAAGCCAATTATGTTGGAGCAACTCATTTCCTTCTCTGACAGGAGTACCATAGGAAATTTAGTTGGTACTTCAGTGAAATGCTTCCTTCAGATACCTCTCTGGAGAAAATGGACAATAATGGGTGGGTGGTTAGTTAATTTGCATTGAATTTTTATGCTTTATTTTACAAATTTTACTTGATTTATTATTTTTTTAGTGAAATATAGTTGAATTACAATGTTGCTGCTGCTGCTAAGTTGCTTCAGTTGTGTCCAACTCTGTGTGACCCCTTAGACAACAGTCCACCAGGGTCCCCCATCCCTGGGATTCTCCAGGCAAGAACACTAGAGTGGGGTGCCATTGCCTTCTCTGTACAATGTTGTATTAGGTTCAAATGTACAGTAAAGTAAGTCAGCTTTATATTCTTTTCAGATTATTTTCTACCGTGGTTTATTAAAAGGTATTGAGTATATAGTTCCCTGTGTTATACAATAGATCCTTGTTGGTTATCTTTTTTAAATATAGTGGTGTGTATATATTACAGTTTGCACTGAATTTTAGTGTGGAAGAGAATTTTAAAACATATCTAACCCTGCTCCATTATTTTATAGATGAGAAAAGGGAAACAAGGGGTTAATCAACTTACTTTGAGCTATATCATCATTATAATCATCATTATCATTCTCATCATCAAAATAGCTTACACACATAGCTTGCACATTTACTATGTATCTGGCCTATTCTAAGTGTTCAATACGTATTGGCTTGACAGATGGCTCAGTGGTAAAGAATCCACCTGCCAAGCAGGAGATGTGGGTTCGATTCCTGGGTCTGAAGATCCCCTGGAGGAGGAACTCACTCCAGTATTCTTGCCTGGAGAATCCCATGGACAGAGGAGCCTGGAAGGCTACAGTCCATAGGGTTGCAAAGAGTCAGACATGACCAGGTGTCTGAGCATTCATGCATGGCTGGTTTAACCCTCACAACAAACCTACGTGGTAACGGAGGCACAGAGAGATTTAGTAACTTGCCAATATCATGAGGTTGTAAGCAGTGGACCTAGGATTTGTACCCAGCAGGACTGGCTCCTGAATTGGTACTTTGTTTTTAGGTACAGCCTCTCCAGGCCGTAAAACTAGCAAGTGACAGAACAAAGTGTCAATGGCACTAACGAATGGACTTTCTAGTGGTATGCTGTAAGATGTCCTTGTTATGTCCTTTTCAATGCTGTTATCCATGAGTTGGATAAAATATGGAAAGCAGTTCATCAGATCTTCAGAAGTCATTATATGGGGAGAGGATTAAAAAATACACTGGACAAAGGAAGCAGGATCTCAAAAATTCTGGGATGATAAATCTAAACATTTTCATTTCAGAGGAACATAAGAAGATACTGCTTGTTGATTCTCAAACCAATTGCCCAATAATGGAATGGGGAACGTGCATAAAATACAACTTGAGGGGAGGGATTTATCAACTCCTACATGAATAAGCATGTGAGGCTGCCCAAAGCTAATGCAATTTAGCAAACAATATTCCATGTATGTTTTTCACTGGTCACGCCCATGCGGGTCTCAGCTGATGTTCTGAGACCAGAGACCTGCTAGGGGAGCTCTGGGCAACAAGACTCTTCACAGTGCTGGCCTGATCTTTCTTCCTCCTTCCTGACCTGCTTTTGCTCTGACCCTCCATCTTGGCCTCCACCCCTCTTGCCATCCCGACTCTGTTCCTTCCTCTAGCCCTTTATTCTCAGCTTTTGTTCTGGGTTCTCCTACCATGTGAACCTTGTTTCATATTTCCCCACCATGGGACTCTGATTTGACTGCCTCTATGGCTGTCTATGTGCAGTGCTGCATCTGAAGAAAACCCTCAGAGCTCTGATCATGGCCCTGACCTCTGGTGGGTGTGCTGATAGCACCCCCATTGCCCTCCCAATACAAACCACGAGGAGAAAATTCGGACCATATATGGAGTATTGTATCCAAGTCTGGCTGACCCCTTTCCCTACCATAAGGGTATCTATGTAAATTGAAGTACGTTCATAGAAAAAGGATAGGTTGTGAACAGACTTGAAGAGTTGGTGATATATGTGAAATGAATAAAAGAGACAAGAATGCCTAGAGAATGTAGATTATGGACTTGGGAGATTTATCTCTGAATTTGCAGATGATCCTACTGTGAAAGACCCCACAGGGCTTCTCCTGTGTGGCCCCAGGGAGTAGCCTAGAACCTGTGGCAGAAGCAGCGGGGAGGAGACGGAGCTCAGTGAAAACGTTCTCATGAGCTGTTCAGAAACGGGATGGAATGACAGTGAGCTTCCCATCACTGGAGGTGTGCAGGTATAGGTGGGGCAGTGGCTTGTCAGGAAAACTGTATAGCAGATCCAAACATCAAAGGGATGCATAGACCTTATGATCTGCAGGTCGGTTCCTCCAAAGAAGCTCTGTGCCAGTGAGGACTCAGTGGCACTTTCTGAACAGGCGGCCTGATGACAGTGGTGCATAAGGCGACCGCCTCCCCTCAGTGAGGCATCAGAGAAGGGCCACCTGTTCGCCTCCCTGCCTGTACTGCCTTCCGTGTGAGTGAGCTCTGGCTCCTAACTGCCCCTCTGAAGCTTCTGCCACTAAAGCGTAGGCCAGTGTCTCCCACCAGAGCAGGGGGTGCTTACCCCAAGTCTAAGGGCCACTCTGGATTAGTTTTCCAAAGTTGGGGGGGATTTCTCACTCCTGGCCAATCTTGGGTTTATAAAGGGGTCTGTTCTCTCTTCACCCCATCCCCACCTCCTTTCCCAGATCAAACACCAAGTGCATTGGATAGCTAGAAGCCATAGGGAAGAAACCCATTTTAATTAAACCCCATTGATTTTTTTTGGGGAGGGTGCAAGTCAAAGAAAAGACATCTAAAGAGCCCCCCCCCCACGTCCCCCTCCTCTGTCCTGACCTACTCTGGGTCAGTCACACATCGATTGGCTTCCTAGATAACAGATCGTGCCACCGCTGGGGACCTCTGGGGACCAGCCGGGAGCTGAAAGAGTCGCACGCAGCAGCCCTGCCCCGACTTAATCAAACTAGCAACAGGATCTGCCTCCCGCGGCAGCGCGGCGGTGGCAGGGTGGCAGCGGCGGCGGCGGCATTATGCGTGATTACTGACAGGCACCAGCTGCTGCCGCCACCGCCGGCTCGACGCACGATGTGGACGCTCAGATCGAGAGGCAGATTCCTGACTAATCCCAGAGGGCTGGCCCAGCCCGAGCCCGGGCTGCTAGGAAGCGATGACCACTCTTGTTAGCCCAAGTTGAAGGGAGCCCGGCTGCGCTTGGGAGCAGGCAGAGGCCGAGCCACTGAGCAGACGCGCCCGGAGGACTATGAACTGAAGAGTCAACATGTATGGAAATTATTCTCACTTCATGAAGTTTCCCACAGGCTTTGGAGGTGAGTATTTCACACGGCTTCAACGCCGGGACCGTCTGGGGAGACCGAGCGGAGATGGGGAGATCCGGATAACTGGACTAGGATTGAATTGGGAAGGAGGGCATCTGTGTTTATCGGCGTCTGGAGTGTGTTTCCCTGCGAGTGTGTGTGTGAGCGCGGCCGGAGTGAGGGGCACGGATGGGGAGAGGGAGGAGGGAGAGTGCGAGAGAACGGTCCGTAGGTGAGGATCTGTTTGCACATTCGAGCGAGTGAGCAGATGGGAGGATCTGGGGATATTCTAAGGAGAGCCTCAGCCAACATGCTTGGGAGTCTGTCTGAGACAAAGGTAGACTGAGAGCATTGTTCTAACTCAGTGGGTTTGTGGGGGTGTGAAGAATGGAAGAGGTAAGAGGAAATTACTGGGATGAACCTAGTACCCAGCTTGCCATGAGAAAAAAAAAAAAAACATGACGGAAAAGGTTTTGCCAATATTAAGGGTACCTGGGACACTTCATAACAACAGACTGATTACTTTATTTAAAAGCAGATCTCCCTAGAATTGAATTTTTTAAAAAAAGAAAACAGTGCTTTAATTTGCTGCGGTGTTTTCCTTCCTCTGTCTCCTCCCCTTTTGATTTGCTAATAGCCTCTCGTCCCTTCCCCTGCGGCTGTCCCCAATTCCACTTCCAGGGTCACCACCCCCACCTCCACCCTGAGGGTCGCGATCTGGGCGTGGTGGGGGGTCTGGGCTCTCACAGCGGAGCTCAGGCAGCTGGAGCTCCAGGCTGCCAAGCCAGGCAGGGCAGCCAGGTGGCACTTCCCAGGGGCTGCCCTCACACCCAGGCCCTTCGGTCCCGAGGCTCCTTTGACTCAGTGACAGAAGCAGCCGGTGGCCCAGCTTCGGGTAAATGGGCCCAACAGCTGACCAACTGCCTCTGACCTGTCAGCTGGTGGCCGGAGGTTTGGGTTCTTAGGAGCCACAGCGGACAGCAGACGCTGGCAGGCACGACAGCAGGAATTCTTGTTAGGTCTTGAGAACTGAAAAGTCCCTGCCCTCCCCACCTCCTGTGAGGACAGATAGGCAATTCATCTGAAGGCTTGCGAGCAAAGCTTGCCTATTCCGCTGGGCATGCCCCTCCATAAGGTGTGGTGGGTCACTGAAAGCGGATGGGGTCCCTGTCCTGGAGACATTAAGCCAGGGGGGTTGCTTATTTATTCGGGCTGCATTGGGCAGTTTTTATGGGCCAAGCGTGCAGTTAGGTGCTGGTAATACAGACGTTCATGAGACATAGTCTGTACTATTTGTACCGGGCAAGCTTGTTACTACCCAGACTCATGGTAATACTGCATGGTGTGTGCACTACTGGTTGCAGAAGGAGGTTGCTGCTTGGATCCAATGGGTGAGGGACCCTGGACACACGTTCTGGGGGAGATAATGCTGAAGTCGCTGGGGCCAGTCTTGCGACGTGACCCAGTGAGTGTGGTGGCCAAGGCTGTGAAGTGGACATCTGATCTTCAATATACAGTTGGGTGCTGTGAAAAGCCTCCTTGACTCCCATTTAGTCCCATTCTCAGCTGAGAAGCACTTTTTCCTTTTCCTTCTGAGTTCAGTTGTCTGAAGAACATGCCTATCCATGAGATTCTTGGGACCCCCGAAGTCTGTGAGGTTATGGCTTCTTAACTGCCAAGGAGACCCTCTGAGATGGTTGGGGTGAATAAAAGGGTTAGAGGTGGACAGGTGTAGGAAGAGACAGTCTGGAGAAAGGAGGTCTAGTCCAAAATTCACTGGAAGCTGCTGTCTGGAATCTTGGGATTGTAATATCCTGAGACCTCAAAGAGCACCTTAGTCCTCTCTTAATATAGATGTGTAAACTGAGGCCTCAAGGAAGGCAGTACCAGTCTAAGGTTATATGGGGTTGAGGAGGAGAGCCCTTCTAGAAAAGCCCCTGAGTCCAACTTCTAATAGTGTTCTTCCTATCTGATATAGTGAAAAGAGCATGAAAGATATCTATCTATCTATCTATCTATAGAGAAAGAGAGAACTGAGTTTGGTTCCTAGATTTTTACTTACTAGCTGTGTGACCTTAGGCAAGATATTGAACCTCTCTGAGCCTCATCTCTAAAATGTAGTTTAAAATCCTATCTTAGACCATGGTTGTGAGCATTAAACGTGCAAATGCTTGAAAAAGCAGATACAGAGAGTTGTCTATATATTTGGTGTTTAATAAAAGTTAATATTTTTGTCCCCTCTATTCTGCCCAAGTACTAACATGCAAATTAATTTAAAAATCAAAAATTACTGTAGAATAATGAATTAGGAATCTGGGGAAATAAAATTAAATTCGTAAAGACCCACATACGTTGCTGGTTTAAATTTTCATAATTGTGGGAGCTCTGGTATTTAGTGTAATTAGGTTTCAGATAAAAGGAAACACAATGGCTGGGCCAGGCAAGAGTAAGGCTGATATAACTGTTGGGGGGAGGGGAAAGGATTGTCCAGGCTGTCTGCCCTAATGCCCCTCCTCCTCCCCATTCCTGGGGGAGGAGAACAATTATTTGGTTTAGTTATACTGATGTTTTCCATTGTGCTTGTAGTTGCCAGCTAAGAGGCAGAAACACTGAGCAAAGGCAAGCACCCCATCTGTAGGAAGGTCTGCCTGAGAGCTTGCGGAGGTGAGAGAGGGAGGGGGAGGGAGAAGGACCTGCCTGCAGGAGCTGGGGAGACCTGAAGCCTGAAGCAGATGTAGCCTACAGTCTCTCACTCCTTTTACCCCAATGAGGCAAGTTGCACCACACGTATAAATGATTTAGTGTATAACCTCTGTCCTTTCATACATTAGCAAGTGGAACCACAGAGGGCTCCTGTGCTTTCTGAGAATCTCTAGGGAAGCAATGTCACCCTTGGGAAATAACACCTGGGATTTGTGTCTGGGCTGTGCTTACCAGATATCGGACCATTCTCCCATAAGTGAACAAGACACTGGGCATACTGGCCACAGGGTGGGGACTAGCTGGGTTGCAGTGGCCCCACCAAGGTGCCCACTTGCCCAGCTCTGGTCTCTCCCATGTGATGAGGTAAGAACCTTTCTCTTCTTTTTTTTCTGCCAGCTGCCCAGTAAGAGATTTGTTTGCCTGGATGAGACAGTTGCAGCCTCTAAGAAGATGGCAGAACAAATCCTGTAATCCCCCTTCCAATTGTGCAGTAATCCTCAGGGTGAAAAGGAGATCAGGGGAGAGGGCACTTGTCTCATTTCATTTAACAAGCACACAGTAGCACTTACTAAGTGCCCACTACCATTGTAAGCACTTCACCATTATCATCTTATTTAATCCTCAGGACAACTCCTTGAGTGGGTATTACTACCATCATTATTGCACTCCTTTTATAGACGAGGAAACTGAGGCATTGTAAACTGCAATAACTCATTTTAAGGTCCCGGAGCTGGAAAACGGCACAGCCAAGGCTTTGAACCCAGGCAGTCTGGTCCTGAGTCCTAGCGGTGCTGAGATGCCTCTCACAACTTCTGTGGGCCACAGAGTTGCCATGGGAAGCTAGGGCAGCAGCACATCCCTTGAAGGGCTGAGGAAGCCCAAGCCAGTCACGTCACTGCGAGCGGCTGTAGACGCAGGAGCCTGGCCTCGAGGAGTAAAGTACACAGTAAGTCAGCAGTCACTCGGGTGCGATGGTGGCCTCTGGAGAACTAGTTGCCGGCTTCTTCTGGGGGCCCGAGTCTTCCCTGGTATGGTAAAGAATCTGGCTGCAATGCAGGTGATCTTCCCTGGGTCAAGAAGATCACCTGGAGAAGGGAATGGTTATCCACTCCAGTATTTTTGCCTGGAGAATCCCATGGACAGAGGAGCCTGGTGGGCTACAGTCAGTCCATGGGGTTTCAAAGAGTCGGACTCAACTGAGCAACTGACACTTTCACTTTTTCTCTGGGGGCTACTGATTCATCAGCGCCCTACCCTACGGAGTCTGACCACTTGTGTAGGAGAGTCCCCTTCTTACGTGAGAATAGCCAGAGAGGAGGGGCTGAGTTGGAGGTGTGTGTGTGTATGTGTGTGTCTGTGTGTGGAGGGCAATATGAGGATGTGGGAGGAGGGTGTGTGTGTGTTTATGTGTATGCCAGAACATATTTTTCCCCTCCACAAATGTGTGGGTGGCTAATAGGGACTTACCATGGAGGTAAGTGGTTAGGGTTTATGTAGGAAGGAATAAATGTTTATGAGATTTAGGAAGGAGTATATTTAGTATAAACTATTTTCTGAAACATTTACAATCTTACCAAGAGATAGAGAGCTGAATAGCAACTGGGGGAAGAAATTATGCAAAGAGTAATCAAAATTCTCCACCTCTTCCTTCCCCTCATTATGTCGCTTCTGTATCTGCAGAGAACTTAGCCACCAGGGTTGGGTGGCTGGGGTGCCGGGGGCTCCCGGAGGAAGCTGCTATTTTTTTCTCTTATTTGAAAGTAGAAAACACAGAGGCCCAGGGAATCTAAGGAGCGAATGTTCTAGAAGGCCTGGGCTTGGGTGGCTTTCTTGAGATTGACCCAGGTCTTGGTTCAGTGGCTGGTTATGGCCTCTGTCACAGCTGCGCAGCTCTTCTGTTGTGATGGGGAAGTGGCTGTGGTCAAACGTATAAGCTAACACATGGGGATGTGCTGCGTTGAGTATGTTGGCCCACCCTGGGGGATTATTCCAGAGAAGTTTTGGTACTATTTTGATTGTCTCCCAGTTAGCAGTGAATAACAACACTAGCTCTAAACAGTTCTTCACCCCTCCTCTACCCCCTACTCCCACCCCAGCTTCCCTGCAAGAGCTGAATCTTTAAAGCCAGAAAAAGACTTGTAGCTCATCTGAACTGACCCATCAGTTAGGGGTGAGGACACTAGGAGAAGCAGGTGGGGCTTGCCTGCGACCTGTGTCTACTTATGCTCTACAAACTGGGTTCTCCTGAGCGCCCTTGGGGGCCACCTGCAGTGGCAGAAAGAAATGTGGAAGGAGGCTAAGCCACAGAG